TCGGATATTTCCCAAAAAAATGCTAACAAAATTCATTTGCGAATTATCGAAGAATATAGACGATGAAAGTATGCGAATGACAGCGATAACTCAAAACTTAACCTGATACATATATTTCTGTGATAGGTTTCTACTCTAGTTGATCAAGCAATGCGCTACCACCTTCTTACATGTTAATTACAAACACTCGATAGAGATCAATCTTGCTGCACTCCCCTTGTGTTGAACCTCTTTAATTTTCCCTCTCTTTGGTTTCGTAGAATCTCTATCTGTTGGCTTTTAAATATGGGCAAATGCTGACTTACCTAGCACAAAACGTGATTCACCTCGACTGTCCTGGTCTGAAAATGAGGGGTAGAGTAGATGTTTGAGGAGTGAATGAAGACTCGCATGGATACCCACAGAAATATCAAGATTTAAAACTAGTGTACTAGTACCGACTCTACCTCACACCGCGTTTAGATAGACTCACATGCATTATATAAAAAGTCATGTTTATACATCTTGATTCTCTCAATTATCCATTCCAAGCCAAGAATACTGGCGAAAATCGTGTGTCTACTTCTAGGAATCCATCATTCAGATCTGATTTATAACTCATAGCAGAATGGCAAATGGTGCTCATCTGTCTGTTCTTTTCCGTAGACATCTAAATGTGAAAATACAAATGACAGCGAATATTAGAAAATTGACAATCACTGGCTGTTCACGTAGAATGAGATAGTTTAGATGGAAACTGAACTTGACTCTTCAGTTGTGCATGCTAGTATGATAGCCCAGGCACTATATCATCGTCTGACTTATTGAAAAGTGGCATTGTCAATACTCCTAACGCAGTCGACTCTTCTTCTAATGGCTTCAATCATGAAGATCGGTTAGCTATACTACGTACTACTTTTATACGCCCAAAGTTCAACAACCCCGTAGAGAACAAGAAGTGAATCCACACATTTTCTCTATATTATCACCCATGTGAAGAGGATAATTCATATTCCTACTACCCTGGTCTAACTCGCTCTTGAACCGAATATCTAATAAGTCCCGTAGTATATAATATCATAATATGTAGAAGTTGTCTTGATTTATCTCTATGTGAGCAAGTTGAACTAGCAGAAGCGGTCATTGCTGTTTCCTCTTTGACGTATTGCGATCTTTTTCGCGCAGCTGACGTGGGCCAATTTTTTGAGGCGCAGTTTTGAGAGGATAGATCGAAATGACAGTACTAGAAGAAAGTGACAATAGACAGAGAACTTCAGATGATAGTGATTATTAACTATGGTGGTATCGAGAGAAGACAGCTAAGATCAAAGTGGGATTTAGAAAGGGACCTGGTGTAACCGGAGACCTGGTAGGTAACACCCGTTGTCAAAATTGATACTAGCGATTACTTTTCAAATGACTGCTTGTTTCTAGTATTAAGAGGTCTACATGTAATCACTTATCGTGTGATTTCTGGATAAGTTCCAGATTCAAAAGATGAATAGATTTGACGGTAATGGGATAGTAAAATAGAGAGAATATGGGTTATTCGGCGGCAACGAGTAATCAAGAAAAACAACAAGCGTCAGACTCAGGTTGACGAGATCAGAGGAAGGTAATATTATCTGAAAGAGATTTAAAAATAAATAGACGGAAGTCTCCATCGATCGGAGAGGTACTCAGCTTCAAGCTTTCGTGAGAAGAGCTCCTTTATCATATGCATTTGTGCTTCATTTATCTCATCGCATGACCTTCCAAGATCCAATTACTGAGATCTTTATATAGGCAATCAAATACGAGGACTTCAAATCTTCGTTTATTTTTGAGATGAGAGGAAGTTGAGCGGGGTAAGACATTCATAGCGATATAGCCCAATAGAACATGTCTCGTAGGCTGGATTTAATAGAAACTTGGAAGAGCTCTGAATCATTGAGGAGATGTGGTCATTCAATACTGAATAGTAAATACGTACCATCCTCTCCTGTCATGACTTTCTAGAATAGTCAAGGCTGATACATATAATGTCTCTCTCTATTAAGCTCTCTTTTCTAGTACCTATGTATTGTCACATTGCTGATATGCAAGATGGGTTTTTACTCCGATATATGAGAATTTATCAAGAACTGTATTGACACTCAGTCAGGAAAGATCACTACCCAATGTTTTGAACAATTCTGATTTCTCGTAAATCTGGCTACCCAGGTATTCTTCGCTCAATCTAACTAAATTAGAGCTCATCTGATCCAAATGACATGCTGGGAGAAGATAACAATAAAAAAATGTTGCAGCGTAGCCCAAAGAACGACAGTGAAATGGAAGTTGACCAAGATAAGATTTTCATCTCCGTTCAAAATGCATTTCATAGAAGCCTACCATGGCACTTTGGGAAAGTAAACATTTTCTCCATACTAATTCTGATTCTCTTCTTCTCCGTTCTAGCTTTTCTCTAGGCCACATAGCACTAACTAACTAGGTACTCAAGAAGAGCAAAGTGGAAAGGTTACAGGGTATGCGATCAAAGTACTAATTTTCAAGATCTCAAAGCCCCCCACGTTTATGAAAATGAATGCATCTATCATAGTATCGCTACGCTGGAGTATTAGCCTCGAGGGGATGTGCATTCACCCGAGAACATAGCAGCATATGATGCTAGCTCCTGCGCTAGTCAAGCTCTTCTCCTTATTTATACAACACTCCCCTCATAAGCTTCCTCCTCTATCGATATCCGGAGAACGCATCGAAAGAACATGTCGTGGCTCGCCAGGAATTTGCAAAAAGCGCCTGAAGACCACTCAATATATTCTGTGAAGGCTAGATATGGCACGAAACATACATCTTCGTATACTTGCGACGATACAATGATTGTTGATAACAAAAAGCCTCTAATTCTTAAAGAAGTTTAGCCATCGGCGATAATCAAAGCCCAAAAAAACGAACAGTTCCGATTCGCTTGGTAGAGCCAGTCAATATGCGGGCAACTTGCGTCATAGATTCATATTCATGATACATACCTCGACGCTAATACTCCGCTCCTGTATCAAGCGCTCTTGATTCCTGACGGTTGAGAAAAATCGAGCTTAAATAGTGCTGTTTTCTTGTAAAGAATACAGCAGATCCAGCTGCATTTAAAACGATTGATCATTATAACTTTATACTGTGTAAGATAATAGTCGAAAGTGAATTATTGCCCAAAGATTTTAGCAAATTTGATGGAGGATTTAATTGCCAGATTCGGTTTCATATGATCAAAAAGGTGATAATATCTGACAGCAATTGATAGGAAATGGTTGAACGACGGAACAAGCAATGAGTGGGTTACGTGGCAATGAGTGTTGAAAGGGTAGAAAATGTTTATGGACCCGAGTTTGTAAAGATACATGACCTCAGAGTGTAAACCAGAGATTTGACACTTCCTGAGCACAGCGAACTTCCTAGCTGATTTGATTCAACCATTTTTTGAAGGCTCGCATGGCGCCTTACATTTCGGTACTATGTTTTGGATCGGCACAGCACTCTATGGAGAAGTGTGAAAAGACCAGCTTCGAGTGAGGATTCTTCAGTACGAGTGCACCAAGTCTCTGTAATCTGTGTGCACTACAGGCCAATGTGTCCTTGCCTCGGGGGATCACTGGGAGGAGTTGCCCCCTCCGCCGGGCTTGCAAACTCATAGCACACGACCTCTCACGGGCTTTTAGTGCTGCGATTGCTGGGGGAAGAAAAAAGAATATTACTATGTCAATCGCATGAGTTTCTGCATACAATTGCAACGAACAAGTAGCGAATCACTACACCGTTTACAATGTTTATTCCTTTAAGCCTATTCACTACCACCACAATACGTTCATTTGTCCGATTGATGTTCTTTGGAGACTGATAAAATTATACATCCGTTCCCAGAGGCTGTATGAATAATGGTGCTATCATCACCATTGTACGATACGCCTAGCAATGAAGTAAGTACTGCTTTGCATTACCTTATCGGGTCTCACCTTCCTGCCAAGACCAACCGTGTATCGCAGATTTTACCAGGCTTATACTCATTTATGCGCCATGTATCCGACTTTTCCAGTCCACGAGCCAAAGCACGGTTGTCTAGACTCATCCACTTCATTGCAAAATTCACATTCGTTCAACGGAATTAATCATGAGCATGTCAAATGCAGAAGGAGAAGTCGAAGAATTATGCCGGTCGACCTTGAATCTATCCAACAAAACTCATCCCTTTCTAATATCTTCGGATATCTCCAAAGCAGCTCTCTTCTGCCATCGCTTCCTGTTGATCTCAATAAGATCACAGCTTCATAGATAGCCCTTGTGTTTTGCTCCTATAACCCCTTTATAAGCTTCGCTCGGCGCAAACCATTTGCATTGCTGAGCATTGAAAAACCTTAGACGTCAGGGCTTCCAAAGTGCTATTTTAATTTCTGAGGGCGTAAGCTTCACGCTCAGTCTCTGCTCTCCAGTGAGGAGTTGTGAAGGTCAGCTCGTTATGAATTCTTCTATTAATCGTTGACATTCAGGCCATTTTAATCTCTTCGTTCATAATTCCCTGTCCTGCGCGCGTTTGCAGATACAAGATTCCTGCCCAGCACCAAGAGCTGGTGGTTCGTAGAAGGTCTGGCGTACAGAAGCTTATCCTTCGCTTTCCTTGTACAAGGTACTTACTCAGCTTTCTCAATCCACATTTATTGATCTTTTCTCGCCCTTTCGTTCTTTGGTCGATTACCGTTCAAAACTAAGGCTACCGGGGCCGTCTTCCAAGGTTATTTGCAAAAGCCTGGTGAGCCACAGGGGTCAGCCAAAAAGTCAGCCACCCCGTCTGAATACCTAGATATGGATCCCACAGCGCGTTCCACTGCCAACATTCCATTTGTTGCATAATTCCCTGGGCACAGATTGTTTAATACCATGCCGCAGAAGAAATTCTTGCCACAAGAATGATATTGGTTCTTTCATACATGCTTCTGTCGGTTTATGCCGACTTACCCTTCTCCCCACTCTTTTCAATTGTTATCCTCTCAATGTTAGCGACTAGTCCAGCGTTCGGATCTGAAAATACAGATGGTCTGAAGTTACTACCCCTTTCTACCTTGTCCTCCTCGGTACTACATATACATTCGCCAAAATCCAAGAAACATATCCACAAAGTTTTATCCCGAATTAAGTGCTGTGAGCCTGCCTCCATCAGAAGCCCCGGGGCTGCGTCGTTTACCCAGGTCGAATGAGTTTTGCGCGTGTCTGGCTGTTGGCCTACGGCAACGTATCTTACCGCTACACAAAATCGAAGTGTCTACAACTATTGTTTCGGAAACCTTTAAAACAACACTCAAGCAAACCTTTGTCAATTCTATGACATTGGAAGATGGCCAACTTTGCGCGTATAGGTTTCCTATTTACGGCAGGGTCAGTGTTGTTGGGTTTAAGTGTAGAATTGGCTCAGATTGTCTCTACGGTTTCATGAAGGAGAGGAAACAAGCAGAAATCATTTATGATGCTATGGTCGCTAAGGGCGATACCGCCGACATCATCGTACAAGTTCCCGAGGGGCCCAATTTTTTTATCACAAGAATTGGTCATGTTCCGTTCAGAGAACGTGTTCATGTCGAGATCACTTATGTTGGAGAGTTGAAACAAAATATCGGTTGCATGCGCTTCAGAATTTCAGCTTGGATCACTCACTGCTATGGCCTTAATAGCTCCGCCAAGCATCCATCTACCGTCGAGCCAGTCACAAGTTCCATCGATTATATTACTGGCGAGATCAATATCACTGTGGATATAATATTACCAGAAAGAAAACTGATCAAAAGGGTTCAGTCTCTATCGCATATGGTTACGGTGTCCACAGGATCTATTTCAACTGCCACTCAGGAAGTTTCATTGATAAATATGACGAGCATGACGCTGTCAAACATGCCCACTGATTTAGAGAAAGATTTCGCTTTAATCATACAGGCCAACGATGTTGAAGCACCTTACGTCTGATTGGAAGCTCACCCCATCATCCCAAGTCATCGGGCCTTATTAGTATCACTTGTCCCCCCTTGTCCTCCTCCAAATTCGCCACCCCTTTCAACATCAGAGATCGTTTTTGTTGCGAATCTTAGTATCAATATGAAAATAGATATTCCAATGCTCGTCTCGGCTTTGAAAGTGTTTCTTAAGTCACTCCCAACTAATTTTAAGTTCAACATTCTCTCTCTCGGAACAAAAATGACTTCTTATGGTCCCAGAGCAAGGACTACAACAACGAATCTCTCCAAGAAGCTATGCAATATCTAAAGACATTGGATGCAGGATCTGGACCAAGGGAGCCGTTCGAGGCAATTCAAGCTACTATCGAAAAGCGAATAGCTGAGATACCACTGGAAATCGTTCTCCTTGCTGGTGCAATCTCATTTGCTGGTAAAAAGGTCCGACATCTAGAGCCTCTTTTACATTATTTTGATGAGCAGGTAGAGAAATCCCAAGGAAATATTCGAATGTTTTGTCTTGGAATTGGCATTGGCAATCCTGCTGCACATGGACTGATTGAAAAAATCGCTAGAGCAGGGAGTGGACTTTTTCGGTGTGTACAGAGTGGTGAATGATTAGACGCAAGTGTCGTCAACATGCTTCGCGGAGCACTTAGCCCACAGACATGGAATGCTGTCCTTGATTTTAGGTACGACGAAGATGATGACTTCAAGTTGATTGATAAGGTCACAGAGAAATCGGAAGTTCTGCGGTCCGAGCACGAAAGATCAAACACTTCTTCCTCATCAGTACCTGGTCCCAACAATAAAAATACCGATACATCAGAGACTTTCTATCCGCAAATCATTCAGGCGCCACATATAATGCCTGGCCTATTTGCAGAAATTAGAACAACTGTATGTCTACTTATATGTCCGAGAATCACACAGAGAAACCTAGTGTCTATCATTTTACGTCATTCGCCATCTGACAGACTACCAATTCTCGAAATTCCAGTCCACAGAAAAAGTCCCTACGATCCATCAACTTGCGGCTCGAAAGGCAATTCAAGAAATTGAACAGTCCCGAGGATGGATGCATAGCCAGACCACCTCCGAAACTCAAACCTTAGTCGAGAAAGAAATCGTTCGACTCGGCGAGAGATTTCAAATCATGAATAAGTTGTACTCATTCGTAGCAGTTAGATCAAGTGACGAGGAAATTCTCAACAAGAAACTTTTCAAGCATAAAAGCTAGAAAATAAATAAAATAAATGAAAAGTATTAGCCGAAAATCCAAAGAAAGATCTATTCACCTCACTTTCGATTTTTTCTTTAATCAAAAACCTTACTACTATACTATTATACCATATAATACAGAATATATTAAATAAACAATAATATAATCTAATTCTAATACAAATAGATTTTTTTACATAAAAATAATTACCTTAAACTAAATCTTTCAACTTTCGAAATACAGAAAACTTACGAAGACCTTATTGATTGAAATAAGCTTTATTAAATACAAAATTCAGATTAACTCGATTAATATATTAAAAACGATTTTTACAATACAATATTGATTATGAAGGTTTTTATTATATTTAATAAAATAATTACTTCACCAATTACAGATTCTGCCACTATAGGGTTACTAGGTACCTATATATACTCTTTTTTAAAGCACCAACGTAAACAAATTCCCCCTCCCCCCCCCCAAAAAACTTGATTCTAATACTTATCATCGACTATTCATAACATAATCAACTACCTATCCGTAGGTGTATCAAGGTCGCTGCCGGTCAGAATTAGTACTACCGACCACGACCATCTAGGGTGGTGAGCAGGCAAATACTCGCATTCTTGTCGTAAATCCAACCACTCCAATCATCATTACCACGTAGCGAAAATCTCTCAACCGGATCCGTACCGTACCAAACCAGGAATACTCTCAACATTATTATCACAGAATTTCGTCACATGACACACTCCCTACTTTGATATTGAATCCTGACAGATGACAACTAAGGGCTCGTTCGGATCGATCGGTTTTTGGACATTAGACCAATATATTAGCCTAATATAGTGTTTACCGAATACAATATTAAGCCTAATACATACTAGCTCAAATAAATGTGTTTATCGAATATAATAATAGATCTAATAAAATATTGAATTAAATAATCTTAAAGTAATAAATGAAACAAATTTTCTCAACTTTTCTTATACAATAACCAACAACAGTTTTTGAGGTTTAATTGGATTAATATATTTGAAAAAAAGTATTATCTTTTTTATTTTCAATTCAATATCTTCATTTTCAATTCAATCTCGTATATTCCAATATTACCCCAAATATATTAGCTTTATTCAAATACCAATATTTCAAATCCCTTGCCATTTTATTATTATTAAAGATTTCACTAATAAAATAAAAAATCGATTCGAACGGGCCCTAACTATTGCTTTTCATATCCATACTATTACTTACTAATAAGTACTCCCCTATAAGTTTATATTTATATTATCATCAATAGTACCCACCATACACCAACAAATTCCCTAGAAAAACAATTAGTAATATAATTACAGAAAGGAGTTCAATTACATTGGCATTACGATACTCTAGGTCTGATTTCCGGTCCCCTAGATCTACCTAACCCATTTGTTGGACTTCAGCCTCGAGATACCTGTTAATCAACCATTGCCACCTATAATGGAGTCCACGTGACTACAGTCCGTATCTTATATATAGAGCATACGTTGTCACCTTATTGAACTCAATCAAATCACCATCACATTCTTCATTATCGTCATACCACACTCAAAGATCAACTACCAGCTCTTCTCTCACACATTTAAATTCAAGCCGATAAGAAATAAAGGAAGATAATTTCCTATACTCTTTTCATATATACATCTCTATCAATCCAAGAAACCCGTTCAAACTTATTCGCATTTCTATACATCATGAATAGTAACGCATCCAGAGGATCCCAAGCGGACAAGAGCGCAGGAAAGAAAGGCCAAGGTCGAAGCAACTCCCATAAGCCAAAAGCACCACAAGCAAAAAAGTCACGCGATGAAGAGCAGGGAACAGTCTCTGTCTCAGAGAACCGTGCTACTCGCAACAAAATAAACAAACTGCAAACGGACTTGGACAGTATCAGAAAAAATCGGCCAAAAGCTACAAAAGAGATAGAAGAGCTAGAGGCAGAGTTGAGATATCAGAAAAGCATATGACCGCGATGAGAAGGCCGAAAGATGATGGGATTCTACTTGAAACAAATCAGACCAGAAGTTACATTACAAAGTTTTCCATTTGAGCAAGCGAAGGGTTATACTCTAACTAAAAGAATGATTATATCAAACTAGATAGAATATAACAAGATGAGAATTACAGCCAAATCGCACATGAAAATCCAGGTATGATGTCTTTGAAAACCTTACATGTGATGATTATTTGAACGTAAACATCACTCACTACCTATCGAGAGTAGATATCAGGATCGTATATCTGATACAGCACTATTACATCAAGCTATGATGAGTAGCTTTGCACAAAATGTGGTCTGGTATTAACGGACTACCCTAATTTTATAGATTCTTAGTGGATAGTCATATCAAGAAAACTTCGATATATTTCCCTGATGTAGTAATATCAGGAGTAGTGCTGAGTAGGCAGATAGGTATGCAAAAACACCCGACTCTTTTTAATTGTGTAAGGATGAGATGAGACGAGACGAAAAAGAGTTTATCTTGAAGATGAGATGAGAATTGAAATCGAATGCGCTTAAACAAATGAATAATTATTAAATCTCACTGGAGATATCTATCAACAGTAAAAAGGAGTACTTCGTAGTTCCTGAATATTACATTTGAGATTATACTATAATCGAATATATAACTCCAAAGATCCAACCCATTTGGATCCGAATACCTACCTACCCATTCCAAACACCATATTCAACCCAATCCAGCCCAGCCCAGCCCAGCCCAGCCCAGCCCAGCCCAACCTCATCCGATTCATACATCATTTGTTCAGTCGTTCTCTTCTACCCCTTCACCCTTAAGGTATACTCTCCAGAACATCACTCTCCTCTGGTCTTTGTAGAAAATCCGGTGGTCCACCCGCAGGTAATTGTCTTTCCTCTGCCCATTGTCTTATGGCATCGAAGTTTTTGCATTGGTGTTCGGTGTTAAAGTCTACGAATGCTTGCGGCTTGGATTTATCCCACCATACTTGGCCGAGGACGCCGGTATCGACTTGGCACATGAGTTGTTGGCGGATAATATCTAGACAATGGGCTAGAGGGTGTTAGTATATGTTTTGTGAAGGTATTTATGAGATGTATTGGATTAGTTTGTAACGAAAGAGTAAATTTGAGATGAACTTACAGACGTGGTATTGAACGATATTATCATCATTCACAAATGCTCCTTTTCCTTGATCGCGATAATAATCGTAATTGTAGTATAGAGATTGTCTCACAAGGTTAAGACAATGCAAATGATGTAGTCCTTCCAGATTTACCGGGAATCCTCCTCCGTATTTTTCGTTGATTTGAACATGAGCAGATGTCAATCCGGATTTCTCTGCCTCACTCGCTGGTAATGCGAAACTTCGGTCTATGGATAATTAGCTTTGGTCGAGTCAATTGATCCATATATACAATAGTACTTACAATGTACTCCCAAGCTTCCCCATGCTGCGTCCACTTCCGGGCCTGCTTTTAATCGGAACGCATTTTCTTTCATGAATGATCCATTGAACATCACTGGCTGATATGATGTATCGATATCATTCAGAATAGGAGCTATTTTCACATTAGAACAAGAGATGGCAGAATCGAATGCTGGGTCATACAGTAATGTTGCACGTAACTAGGACACAACTTCGCGGGATCCGCTACAAATCGAGAACCAATCCATATACCCAATCCAACTGACAACAACGATACTACCGGCAGTGTTAATATGTACCAAATGGTGCCATTTCGTCTGGATGTTGGCTTATACGTTGGCTCGGGATTCGAAAGTAAACCTTCACCATCTTCTGATTGAGGTACTTGATTGTACTTGTCTGAAAATGGAGAATAAGACATATCGACAAATGGATATGGTGGGGTACAATTTGAAGTTCAAGATGCAGGAAATCTTGGACAACAATCAATCATTCAACAGTATACAATATCAATATCCGAAAATATCAGATGAAAATACAAATTAACTTTGATAGAAAAGAGGAGATGAATGAAGTGAGGTTAGGGAAAGGTTTTGTTCGTTTGACTCGATCAGCGACTTCGCCATCGAAGTATCTATCTAGGTCGTTCAAATACTTTTAGTACCAATTCTCTAGTCATACTCAATTGAACCCTAAACTATCGAATGGAAGTAATGATCCGATTTGATAAGAAGAAAACATGCCACCAGATTGGAGAGACTCATGACGCATGTTCCAAGACTTATTCAAGGGCTTAACTTGTGTTGTGCTGTACGAGGTTGGCTTGGTGGTTGAAGTGGGACTAATGCACGAATGTGGGAAAAACCGATGGAGGCTTAGAAATACCGGTATGGTGAGATATGGTGAGATGTCAAAGGTAAGAGATACTCGTAGAAGGAAGCAAACACGTTGAGAAGTTGAGAAGTTGAGAAGTTGAGAACTCGAGAACTTGAGGTGACTCTCCAACCCCCCGGTGAACTGATCGACAAATCACTATTTAGTGGAGAGACCTGCGGGCTGCGGGTATCTTTCAGGGATCATATTTATACCTATTACCCAGACTTGCCCAGGTAGGGTACACATCGCTTATGGATTTAGTGTCGGATAAGCTGGGAACGAAGGGAAAAAAGGGAAAATAGGGTCCGACAGCTAACCCTCTTTACATTGTGTTGTCAATTTTACTTGGCGGTGTTGTTTCTTGTTTCTAAATATACTTCTTCAATTCACTTCACCACTCCGTAACTTCACTTCCAAGGTTTATGACTAGAGAAGCTAAGGTTAACAAGTCAAACGAGCTTTGCACCCGTTCTCACGACTTTTCACGTCAACATAAGGTTTTTTGACAACACCACCCTTTTTCGTATTCTTCTCACTAGAACTACCCTAACCTAGATATCCTCGATACCCTTGATACCCTCCATATCCCACATATCCTCCATACCCTCAACATCCTCGATACCATGAAAAGTCAAAATAATAAGCATTTCACTATATCTGATCTTATTTTTTCCTTCTCCACAATCGAAAAGATGTCCAATTATCCGGTCGTTCCAGAATGCCAAGATCAGAAAGAATGGATCTTCGTGCGTTCTCGTATCAATCACCTGAACGTAGATCATCAAAAGATACGAGCCACCCAACACGAGTTTAAACTGTTAGACCCCGCAATTTCCATGCAACCTGAGTCTATTACACCATATTCCAACCTCACATAAGCCTTTCACTGATGACATGTTATGAATATTCGCTGCGGCGACATTATTTTCCGCAACACCCAAATGTACGATTAGCCAAGTGGCTATGCAGATACGAATTAAGCGATGCCGCGATAGTAATACGTAGGTATTCAGAAGCTTAGTTGGTGAGCCGATGTTCCCCATACGTACAATGTGCGGGATGGGATGTATCTACTTGGTCTCGTACTCCTTACTTCCGAGTTCCATCATGTCTTTAGATGGCTATATCGCTGAATAGCTCCCAATATCAATATCGGTGTGTTAGCCCGAGTGGGAATTTCACAAGTATCATGACGTGGGAGTAATATCGTGCCCATTAAGAAATTTACAACTTGACCGATTGAATGACATGTTGCCAAGAATAGATACATTTGATGCTTTTCTTACGTGGGTGAAAGCATCGCCTGTTTCGGTAAGATGTATCCAAATGGATATTTTTGACAATACATCGAGGCGGGTGTCTAGACTCTAGGCGGATGGTAGTATCCTGAAGTTATTTAAGATCTATCACCCCACGATACTTATTCATTATTCTCATCAATCATCATCTCTCTACTTCTATTACTCATATCTCTCTCTATCATTCCCAATCAATTTACTACAATCAAATTACATTCAATATGCTTTTCTCAAGAGACTTCATCATGCTTTTGGCATTCGCCGCCGCTGGCGCTGTCGCTGCACCTGTTGCAGAGCCTCAACCAGAAGCCAAAGCTGATGCTTCCCCAGCGGACTATGGTGACTGTAAGACTGCCTCCACGATGGCCTTGGAGTAGAGTGCTAATGCATATTTCTAGATGGTGATTACGGAAACTATGGAACATACGAGAAATACCCATCCTCTTCCTCCGTTACACCTACACCAACACCAACACCAACTGGATATGGTAGCTATGCCAGCTGTAAGCAGACACATCAATTATATCTTTTGAGTCCAGTCTAATGATTTCGTAGACGGTACCTACAAGAACAAGAAAGTCAGAGAAGCCGCACCAGAGCCTGCCCCAGTAGCAAAGCGTGCTGACTATGGAAACTATGGAGACTGTAAGTCAATTAAATTTAATACATTTCATAGGCTTCATGTTCAGATCAATTTATTCTTTGGAAACTTGGATTTATGACTATGAAATGCTGACCCAACCTCCTATAGATGGTGACTACGGAAACTGTTCGTACATCAGGAGCTATTTTGATACAGTACTAACATCATGATTCTAGACGGTAACTACGAAAACTATCCTTCCGCCACCTCTTCCACCACCTCTTCCGCCACCCCTTCAAGCTCCTCATCAAGCTCCTCATCAGCTACACCTACTCCAACTCCAACCGGTTATGGCTCATACGCAAACTGTAAGTCACACGCATCATACATATTGCCATCGACTAATCATTTTTCTCAGACGGAGCATACAAGAACAAGAAAGCACGTGCTCCAGAAGCCAATCCAGAAGATTATGGAAACTATGGTGACTACGGTGACTGTAAGTCCACTCTCGATCTCTCTTTCCTTAATCTCCATACTCGCACTCTCATATGTCCTCAATTGTCTCACGGGTTCTCCTGAGCAATGCTGACTTTGCGCTCTGTTCATTCAGATGGTGACTACGGCAACTGTCCGTGAACTTCCTCGCTACATCACTATCCCATCCCTCCCTCCCACTGCATCTTATCCACCCAGTCCCATTTCCACACGCATAACTAACCATTCCTGCTTCTAAAACAGACGGTAACTACGAAAACTACCCCTCCGCCTCCACCTCCTCCACCTCCTCCACCTCTTCCACCACCGTCACCCCAACCCCAACTCCCACCCCAACCGGCTACACAAACTACGGTTCCTACGGTACCTACAACAACTACAAGCGCGAAGCCGATAACGCCTTAGCTTAAGCCGATGAATCTTTTGACGAATTTTATTTTGTAATTACAACGTGAGTTGCATTCCCCTTTTCCAACACACATTGATCAAAATCACATACTAACAGCGGAAATAGACTCCTTTATGACTGAATGATATACGCCCCTTTAAATAATTAATGATTATTATAATGATACGATACGAGATGGTATGAAACTGCTCCTACAGCAAGCATGGATTTGGGAACGAAGAATGAAGAATAAGAGTAGATGGAAGGAAGGAAGGAGAGAAGGATTGAATAGTTTAGCTTGAGCAATCGAAAGAAACTTTGATCTTTAACCTTTACTTTGCTTTGCATTATGAATCACCGGATCGCGATGACTACTATGAACACTTCATTTACATACACCTCGTTGACAATATTTTCTATTGCGAGGAAAAACTACCTAATATTCCACTCCACTCCATCCAAGGGGGCGTGCCCTGAGTAATTTACCAATACACACCCCAGCCTCACCACCCTCCACCATCCATTACACACTAACCCCAAACCCTTCTAGCGCACTTTCCAATTTTTCCACCATATATTTATTTCTTCCAAGCTCAAGCTTCTTTTCCGCGCAATCTTTTTTCTTCGCCATCCATATGTACATACCCCATTATGGCGACGAAGCAGTTTGCGCTTCATCGCTTCGATCGATCAATCAATCAATGATTAATGATCAATGATCAATGGTTGACCAGTTGAGAGCTCAATCAAAAGCACAATCAAGTCATGCACACACGCATCTACATTCATTCATTCATTCATTCATCCAATCAATCACCAACCACCGCATGTTCAGCGCGCGATCCTCCAACAACTAACCACAGCTTCATCTCCAAACAGCAGCATCCCAAACAAACCACAGCCGTATGTTCCCACCTCTCCTCTTCTGTTTCCCACCAATCCATCCCATCCACACATTTCCCTCCCCCCCCAACTCTCAAAAAATAAAATGATGATCAACACATACGTTATACCCAGCTCACTCAGAGACACAAGTTGTCATTGCTGAGAACGCGTTCAGCTTCTGATTTATTTTTTACCCTTTTTTTTCTTTGCGATCTTTTCATGAATGATTTAGAAGGGAATTGAGACTAATTGGATTTCTTTATAGGATATGAAGTTTTATATGAGGTTGTTGGTTTGATGTTGAATAGAATCGGCATGGAGATGAGGGATTGTGAGAGGCTTACAGTGTGCGGGAGTGAGCGATATATATGGTGTTTGTCTTGAGTTTATTGGAGCTGCTGGCAGGTTCTCTGGCTCATAAAATATCATACGTCCGCGAGCTTCCTAGTCGCTTCTAGCAGGTAGGTCCAACAAGCTAGTTGAATCAATGTGTTCTATAATTCTTCATCGATCTATCTGCCTGTCTATCACGCCACTCTGTTTCGGTCTATTATCTATCACACGCGCAATTGATGGATCTCAGACATACCTAGACATGAATCATCCATCCATCATACCTTTCAACTCCATTCCAAATGCTATGCGTTATCTCAATACCAAAATGCTCGATGTAACTAACGCCTGATGCCCTTACACCAATACCACATTCTACCTTGACCTTCCTGTATGTTTTTCTCTCACACATATCACAAAGTCATAGACACGAAAGATTACCTTCCTTCCCTCAAACTCGAATTATTTTCCGAAACCGAGTCCAGCCCGTTGCGACGACTCCTTTGCTCCCATTCCCAGCACATTCTCTCTCTCCCTGTCTCTCCACCTCAATCTCACTCATACTCCTCTCCCCATTCCCCTCCCCATTCCACATTCCATCCACCCCCCTCCCCTCCTCTACATCCCTCTTCTCCCTCTCCCTCATCAAAATCCCCTGTCGTCTATACAAACCCACAAAATTCCACGTCCCCCACAACTGCGCCGCCATAAACACCACATGCAACAAGGGCGTTGAGATTTTAAACGCCAATGTCCATCGATTCCACAAACTCCCAAAGAGAAACATCGTGACGATTGTTTCGGCGATTGTACCAGTGAAGGTGGTAATAGCTGCCATGCGGAATATTTTGCGGAGGAAAGCGTGGGAGGTGGGGTTGCAGCGGTAGAGAATGATGGTGAGGTGGGGGAGGAATTCAGAGAGGATGTCAAAGGCTCCTTTATGGGGGGAGGTTGTGTTAGTTGGTTGAGGAAAAGAGGGAGGGGGGTTGCAAGGAGATGGGGAGATGGGGATTCAAGTGAAGATGTGTAAGGGGAAAAAACATACCCCAGACTGTACACAAAATAAACTCAATCGTGGCATCCCTCTCCTTTACCAAATCCAAACTTATCGCAATGGCACTCTGACCAATCAAAATAGTCCCAATATGATGTCCCACACTCACTGGACTGATCTTTGGTCGATACAGTAATTCGAATATGTACATTGCGATTAACATTTGCGCGGCGATGATGAGTACATCTCCCATTGTGGTCTCGCTTCCTGGCGCGAATGGGGAATGCAGAGAACTAGTGAGGAAAGTGACTGAGATGAAGGGATAAGCTGCGAGGATCAAGATGAGGATCTTTGTGAGGCCGGCAATGTGGTGGTTGATGAAGCCGGAGCGGAGGGCGGAGCCCGAGGGCATGGTTGTGAAGGTGGAGCCGTAGAGGTAGGGGAGGAGAAGGGGTTCGAAGAGGTAGTAGCGGATGAGGAAGTAGATGATGAGGATTATGGAGAGGATGAGACCGGAGAAGGGAGAGAGTTTGGAGATGGTTTCGAGGGGGATTTTGGTGATATGTGGGGAGGCGGTGTCTGGGGCGGTCATTTTTGGGATAGGGAGGGGGGGCGATGACTGGTTGTTGAGAGGTAGAATGAGTAAGATGTGGTTGTTGACTGCAGTGGTTTGAGTTGAGATGTGACTCGAACTGTGTTATTCGATCAAAAAGAGAGGAGGTAGATCAAAGAGGTTGTAGTCGAGTAGGTTGACTGAGTGTTTATAGGTGCCTGTGTTGATCTAGCAGTAACCTCGAAGAAAGCATAGAAATAGAGTGGTAAAAGAAGAGAGCAAATAGACAGGCCGAGCCCCGAACGAAATTAGATGGAGAGAATTTTGGAATAGAAAAACATCGAGTGAATATGAGAAGTAGGAAAGCAAAGTAGGTACCTAGGTAAGTAAAGGTAGGTAGTTAACAGCGCCTATGTAACACAGAAAAGAAACCTCAATCAGAACAGATTCCAGACAAAAATATAATACAGACCATCCTCAGCATTATATATGAATGGGAGACGACCCAATTCATTCAAGTAAGAATCTGAGGAAGTATACTTTTTCAGCCCTAGCTCAGAGAGCTCGTACAGAAGTATCTAGCATTGTAGTTGAGAGATTTTGCTTCTCGTAAAATGAAACGGAGCTTATGGTGGTACCTCTCTAGGGAGGTACCCAAAAGGACCCTTACTTTTTGAAATTGAGATCTTACGTGAATATCTAGCTAGGTATGTCTGTCAAAGACAATGATTGGATGTCGATTGAGGCTAGAGAGGAGAGGAGGAAGGTACGATGCATTTCAGGGTTTGAATGAGGCTCGAGCAATTTCGTTTGGCGGCCGAGTTGCGGGGTGGTGCATGATGTGATTAGCTGAATGTATATTGGTTAGCCAGACTGATGGTTTGGACAATTGAATTTGGTATGTTGTGTGGTGAGTAAGTAGGTAGGTGGTAGTCAACATTGGCGTTTGAAGATATAACACTTGTGGCGAAGGACTATGAGCGACTGGAATGCTTAATAGTGGATTGTTGATGCTGGTACTGATGTTGAATTGAGATGCTCCTTCGTTGGTATCACTTATCTAGTAGGGATGCTGGCTTTGTGTAAGCACCTACCTATACATATAACTATATCGTAAGTCGTTCTACCTACCTAACTACCTACCTAGTACCTACCGACCACAAAAGACGGAAGACTCGCAGTAGTCGTAAATCTCTTGAATATAAATATATATCATGTTACAACAAGATCCAAATTATAGAAGTACTTGCTACTCATTTGTTTACGTTTGCATTCTGAGAAATACATCAAGACCCTGCTTCTAGAATCGATCGGTAGTAGACCCCTATCTCATACTCCGACCTTAGCATCCCTGAGAAATCCAATCATTCATCAATCTTCATGTGTCAAGGTACTGTAACTCCCGGCTTGGCGATAAAGCTTGGTACTGAAGCTTAAATCATACTTTATTTTCTAACTATCGTTTGATGTTTCTATCAGAAGATCAACGGTTCGTATGTATTTCACACTTTTGACGTTTCTTGGTAATGGTCTTACGGTACGTGAAACCGCGCTCGAGAGGCAGGTTTTTAATGCGTATTTGTTGGTTGGCATGATTGGAGATTTAGAGCTGCTCGTATATATAAATTTCAAGGATCAAAATGCCGCATTTGAGTCAACTTCTATGGAGTTTAGAAGGAGCCATCTTCATTAGGCTCTGAATGTTTTAGCCTTCTCCGTTGTATGAGAACCATCCAAGCTCTCTCAAATTATCCGAGTTCCATTTCTACCTACCTAGAGAAGTACAAGAACAGAAATAGGAACAGTCGTGGAACGATACAGACTTCAACCAGTCTCCGGTATGGTTCATTATACGATGAGACCTCAGTAGAAAACGACATTTGTTCTTCGGAAAATTCTTGAGAGGACAAACCGACATTCAGCATTCAAGGCTCTGTGCCATCCCTCAGTTTATGAGTTTCCAAAGATTTTGGGGGCTTCGGAAAGTGTTTCCCTGATGTATTCAAATGATCTAGTTACCTTTTTATGTCGGATTTGATGTCTAGATATTTCTACCTGCAGACGGAAAGGGGAGGATTCTGGAATGGCTCAGCATGAAGGGCAAATGGATCAACACGTGCTCTCAGAAGCAACCAGTACACTGGTGTACCAACGACGCTATTGGCAACAACTTAACTTGAGGGCTATCTACTTTCATGACTTATCGATGAACAAATTTCGAACTCACCACCGAGACCACCTCTAAATGCTTCAAAGTTGTCACCTGGATCACGTGTGAAAGATGCCAAGTCGGAGAGTTCGTTGCTCCATTTTAGCGCTTTTCATTGGACAATCCAGAGGTACATGTGGATCTTGCTAGGCTGTGTTTATTCTGCGCCAGCGCAACGGTTTTCATTACTATCCATATTTACGTGAAAACCAATTGGTCTCATCCTTCACCCATTTATCATCCTTGGTGACGAATTCCTCACATGTCGGAAATGCGTTGGATCATGCACAAGCCGCTGGGGTTTTCAGTGAAGCTGTCCTGTCAATTGGATCGTTTAATATGATGGAAGTACGTACTGTCTCACCGATTCTTCATTACATGGCGGCTCTCATATAGCCAGAGCTTCATGGCGGAGTTAAAATTGAGTTTGTCCTAAAAATACTCTATGAGATTGTCCTTTGGATCTTGTGTCAAAATGGCAACTATATATAAGGCTTACAGCCATGTTCAGTCCCGTTATCGTCCGTATCTATATCCAGTCTCGATTGCAATACACCACTTGCTTTCAGGTTATGCATATCCCTAAAAGTCATGTCTTCCACGACGACCATAACCAGCAGTGCCTCGACAATTGCATCTGCAACAGAATCATGTATCAACGTCAGGCCAGATAAAAATGGTCATGTACCCGAATGGGCTTGCAGTATGTACTTGCCTTCTCACCGGAAATCGACGGCTAATCATAGTAGATGCCAACTATAATTTTTATCCATCGTTTGCCGCCGCAGTTGTCTTCACGTTACTATTCTTCGTCGTTACAATAGCGCATATCTTCCAAGCTTTTTATCACAAGAAACTAAGACTATGTTGGGTATTGATTATGGGGTGTACGTGGGAATTTATGAGTTTTGCGATACGCTCAGCTGGTACGAAAATGCAACAGAATGTTGCTCTGGCCACTGTTTCTCAGATTCTGATTTTACTTGCCCCTATGTGGGTCAATGCCTTTGTTTATATGGTTCTAGGACGGATGATTTACTTCTTCGTTCCAGATCAGAAGGTTTGGGGCATCAAAGGTATCCAGATAGCCAAGATCTTCGTATGGCTTGACGTGCTATCCTTCACAACACAACGTAAGACACTTCAGTTCATCAACGAAGCTCTTTTCTAACTTTTTGCATAGTTGTGGGCGGTATACTAACATCTCCCGGCGCCAATTCAAATATCTTAATGACCGGTATCCATATCTACATGAGCGGTGTTGGATTCCAAGAATTTTGCATCCTGCTTTTCACAGCCATTGCCATCAAATTTATGTTCATCATGCAGCAACGAGAAAGATCTATAGGAGTTAGTGCCAATCAAATACTAGATCAAAGACATCGCGGTTGGAGACCCCTCTTATATATCATGTTTACATCTCTCGCCCTAATCACTACACGAATTATTTACCGCTTGGTAGAATTTTCAGCTGGTCTTGATCCAAGCAAGAATCCAATACCATATCATGAATGGTATTTCATGGTTCTTGATGCTTTGCCTATGTTGATTGCAATTGCATTGATGAATGTTATTCATCCTGGTAAAATATTAGTCGGCGAAGGAAGTGAGTTTCCTCGATTGTCGAGAAGAGAGAAAAGGGAAATGAAGAGATTGCAGAAGTTAGAGAGGGAAGCTGCAAAAAACGAAAAGAAAGCAATTAAGATGGGAAAGAAAGATGCTGTTATCTATATCAGTTTAGATGACCCGACAAGTACCCCTCCTGGTTATTCAGAAAATACCAGCTATCCGGGTTACAATCACAGGTATAAAAAGTGAGTATTTTGGAAGATAAAGTTCTGTATATATGAAAATGATTAGTTGTCGCACATTGGAGTAGTCTCGTCCTCCCGTGAAAAGCTGAAAGTGTCGGTGGTCTTGTGTTTGGGGACAACACGTGTATACATTCTCATCGGCAAAGTTCCGATGATTCCACCGCATGAACCGTGAATCTATCTTTTGAGGCTTCAATAACTGTCAAATTGGCAATTGATTCTGCAAAACAAATTAAAATTCGATTGCTTGATCTGATTTTCTTTAAATCGTTATTTTTTTGCGATCAGTGGCTTGCATATGATTCTATTTAAAAACTTCTTCGTCCCTTACTTCACGCGCAATTCTCGGGGACTTGGTAACACAATGGCTTTGTCAAACGCAAGTATCCGAATGCAATGTTCCACAACGTAATTTCGCACTTTCTTTTGCTAGATTTAGTCAGTATCTTGTAGAGACAAACAATACAGATTCACGTTGCTCCCTGTTGTTAATTGAATTTCTAGACCTATAGAACTTTTTCCGGTGCTACTTACATTCCTTGTTCCCACACGAGTATCTTGCTTCTTCGGTTCAACACATCTCATTTTGCATGCCGTGGGATTTTTCTATTACTCTTGTTCAACATCAAGCCATTGCACTCGTAATGCAAGCCAGGGCTTGGTTCAAACACATCGAATTCGCTGAATTGAGCCATCATGTCTTTCCTCGAACGAACATTAGACCAGGCGTTCCACAATAAATCGACCCGGAAGATAACAAAATATGGAAATCGGATAACAACTCGACATACCCAGACATGAATAATAATATGACATATTGAAAAGTCTCCAATATACATCGTCTTTCACGAAATTACCTCTCACTCGCCATTGTTATGTATTGAGATTGAGATTTGAAGTTGAAGATGGGAGTTCTCATGGAGCGAATGGCGAAGGCATCGGCAAATGAACCCAGAGCTGGAACAGTTTTCTCAATTATTTTATCTATGATATCAATGGCAGTTTTGGCAATTTGTATGAGTAAGTCTATCCACCCGATAGAAAAAGCTGCACGATTCGCGAGATACTAAGGCTCTTATACAGCTCGTCGCGTTCAAAATGTACAGGATTGGTCTCGATACCCTCTCGTTTGTTGGTGTAAGTTTGGAGGGATTATCTACAAAGCTTTTGTTGCTAAGAATTTGGCACTAATAGACAAATTGAGCAGTGGTTCTTTTGATATATTTTGATTCCCTAGTATTTGTTCTTGGGTCCGCAGTTGTTTCGGCGGGGTTTGGTGTCAACTATTCACAGTATATGTGCTCCAATGCTATTATACTATGCTTGTCTTGTTATATGACGACCAAAGTGAGTATTGAAATCAAGGAATCAGATTTGTTGTTTTCTGGTTCGACTTGGGCCCTCAATTTCCAATGATATATCCAGCCAGCTGTACTTACACGATATTCTAGGTAGTAGGTTTTCTTCACCGCAAGCGACCGCAACATTCACTAAAGCTAGTAGCTCATCTACTATTTCCTCGTTGAAAGGGTTGTAAGTTTGCTCTTCCCTTTTTTACTCTTATACTTACTAAGATAACAGTATATTATCCGTCGATCATCAAAACCGCGCATCAAAGATCCGCTTTATCTCTTCAACTCGATTGGAATGCTGAGTTAGTCACCTGATTTGTATGCGATGGTTCAAACATTAATCCTTTTAGTTCCTTACTGCATAGTCATCGCGTTGAATTTTATATTGTGAGTGTGGCTCTGAGTTTTTGTTGGAAAGGAGCTCTTGTTGATTCAGATTCCAAAGCCGATTCGCCAATTATGAGAATGGTGAATGTCGGATTGGGATGAAACAAGTCGCGATGATACCTCTTATTGTAGGTATTTTGGCGCCTATTATTCTAATCTTTCGGTTTCCGCTCGAGGATTAGGTTTATTAACATTCGGTAGGCCTTCGATATATTAGTCAACGTAAGCCCATAGTGTTCGCTGTATTCAAATATCAGCTTAACATGTATATATAGGTCTACCTAACGTCCTTGTTTCTCGTTCCACTACAAGGTGATTTTGCATCGACAATTCTTATCACTCTTCAACTAATCCATATAGGCTTGTACTCCTACAAAAACAACCCAAACTCACAAACACGTACCGTCGCAATCCGCACTTTTATTGGAAGTTGTTGTGCGCTTACCTCTAGTGTCGTGTAAGTTACTTCTCCTGATCATTTAGAATAATAGCTGATGTTTTCCCAAGTAATTTGACTTTATTATTGGTGCTGAAAGGCGAACCAGGCTGGATATGTCTCATGTGTTGTAATCTCGACAGTAAGCCTCTATCTCATCTTCTCTTTACCAGAAATCCTTCAAAAGACTCACAGATATACCTAGTACTCTTCAGCGTTCTAGTCCTCCACTGGATAACTTCCAAAGACAATGCTTCCACCTTCCTCCCGCGTCGTTCTCACTCACACACTCATTCACATACCTGTTCCTACCCTACGATCCGTACCAGCGCTCTCCCTTCTCCTATTTCTCCCCATCCACTTATTCTCAGTCCTCGTTCTATTCCCGAGAATATGGGATTTTCAAATCGAGATCATTTGTTTACGAGCACGAACGGTATGAATGGTGCGACACTAGATGGTTATAGTTATGCGAGGGATGCTATTGATTTACCGACGGTTACGACGACTGTTACTGCAGGTGTAGGTGTGGGAGATATATTGGATGAAGAACAGGAAAAGAAAAATAGAGGGCTCGGGAATGGAAATGGAAATGGAGAGACGCGGATCAGGAAACCGAAAATGGCGATTACGGTTGAGAGGGATCATGTGAGGGAGGTGGTGGAGACGGGAATTAGAATTGTGAATGATCGTGATCATGAGAGGTTGATTTTGACGCTACCCAGGAGTATTAGTGGAGGTGGGGGGAGTATGGGGATTGAGATTGGAAGTGGAGAGAAAGAGAGGGGGGTTGGAAGGGTAGGGGAGGAGGATGATACGGATATTTCTTTTTGAGACGAGAGGTGTAGTGTTGATGAATACATGTATGAGGAAGCGTTTTCAGACAATGATGACTTGACAATTCATGATCAAGGAATATTTTCACACATTCATCTCAAACACTCGAGTTTATTGAAGAGGGGGGTCGCCCATCATGTACGGTACCAGAGATGGATTGCCCAGGTAAATCCTATCAGTGTATCGATTTTCATATTGAAAGCGTACCTGAAAGCCATGGCCGAGAATACCGACGTGCTCTACCTAGGTACTTGCAAGTCGCAAGTGAATCATCCACTACCATAACCCCTCATTCCGCTCCACCGTTAAACCCTCTCGGCTTTGTATGTATAATTCAATCAATCCTCCTATTAGATTCAACGCCATTCAAAGATCCCGAAACCTTCATCATATAAGGGTTTCGACTCTCCGTATCTAATGACCAAGCAAGCGAGACCCTGGGCTTGACCGACAAATGTGGTGTTCGCTGGCTCAGTGCAGCTCCCTACGTGTGGCTTTTTTGTCTTTTATTCTTAGAGATTCCATTAACCTGATGTTTTGAAAGCGGATTGAAATGGGATGGGATGAGATGATACTTGTCGATTGCTTTTTTTGTTGTCTTTTGACATTTTGCAGTGTTGATTTGTAACTTTGCCATCGTCTGACTGGATATGGTTATTTTGATTCAGATGGTATCCCTATCATATATGATAGAAGTTTCTCCGCTCACTCGTGGTTCAGGGTAAATTTCATTCTTCCTTTTGAGGGAGTGAGTTTTCTAGTTCTGGTGGGTAGACGACGGACAGTTTCTCAGAAGTTTTCTTGCTTTTGGATTCGTAACTTACTGAGTCGGTGCACCTGCTCTGCTGTAGATTTATATAGCTTTCAAATGCGAACTGCATCTGGAAATTTTCTTCTATCCACTGTTCGGTAAAATTCCACTGTTCCTCGCATGACCAGGTAGGTATGTGAGGTAGGTATGTGAGGTATTGATTCATCTTGTACAATTATTCACTCATTAAGAGGGGTAAGTTTTGGGCTTGAGCTGAATCTTGTGTCTTTCCCAGGTTGAGTTTGGTAATCTGAGAAAGCGTTTCGTAACTATAAGCAAGCACGAATGGGAGGAAGATAACGTACTATCAAATATCCAATATCCCATGACACAATAGATCATAGGATTTCTGCCCAGATGGGTGAGACCTGAGGTATAAGATAAAAATGGAATATGGATATTTGAGATCCAGCAAGCTTTAAGGTTGTAGATTGATGGTAGAATTTCGATAGATCCGCTTCGTTTACGATATTTCTTTCGTCCTCTTCACCTCCCATGCAATTTTGCTGTCAGATGCTAAGATTTCCAAAAGTAATATCTCACCGTCGCTTCTTCTCATTACCGTCAATCCAATTATTCCACCTATCTGATCAAAAAATGATTGCCATTCCATCCTCTCCGATTCTTACATGTGAGTAACAATCTTGTGATCCCTTTACCAAGTTAAGGACAATAACATCTCCGGCTACAGTCCTATGAGCGGGCTTTTGTAGGGTCAGTTGAGCCCCAACTTCAAAACGGTCTTTACTGCAATACCGAGAAGTTTACATCGATACTTCTCTATAAATATAGATATGAATTTACTTTCAGTGTTTCGTCAGCAAGAGAGCAGGTGACACATAGTATATGTGATTCACCCACTATCCCTTCAAGGACAGCGAGGGTGAAAGCCATACCCCGCATTCTGATTTTCAGATTCAAGAGTAGGTCTCTAACCTTATTAAAGTGGTCCACAATCACAAACCCAACCACAAACCCAAGCAGAAATCGACCTAGCCCAGGACGACGACTTACTGGATTGATTTTTGACCTCACACTCTGTACTTTCTCAGATCTTTAGAAACAGTGCTCAGTAACTGTAGGGTTCTGGGCTCAGTTTCGACTTATTTATCTGGTCCAAAATAGATAAGATTATCATCAGCGACAACAAATATCAAGTTTCTCACGATGACAGAGAAAAGAGCCTTGACAATATGAGACATGATGAAAGAGCATTACTTAAACCAAGAATTGGCGTGTAGATTACTACCTATCTACTTAAAACAAGTGAGCGGGCCTATTTTAATTATGATACCCCAGGAAGAAGACCTGAATTTGACAAGTATTTATTGGTGCTAGTTGTGTTGCCCTTTTACTTCAGGAATACAGCCATTATTAAATAATACTCAGGTTAAAAATCCCCTCGATTTCCCCCAAACCCTGCCATGGAGATGTCGATCGCAGATTCATTTTCTTTTTGACACCGGAATAAAGCAAGGTAAATACCTAGATATGATTCACCATCTTTCACATCAATATCAAGGAAATATCAAAGCCATACCCCGCATTTGCCCATCAAGATCGCGGAGTGGTGGTTGTACAAGCCAAGCAGGCGACTGAGGTGTCTCCTCAGACTGTTAAGCGGGCCACATTCCATAGTTTCCAAGGTTATAAAAGATACCTGGAAGACAGTATATTCGGGTCCATAATATCTGAGGCTAAATTTATGATTGTTGGTAATGGTCTCGAGCTCTGGTATTTCTGCGGTCTGTAGAAGGCGCGGATTGTGGGACAAGCGATGTAAATATTGCTAGAAAGTCTGACTAGATGACTAGCGGTGATAAGTTCAATTAGTGACGAGAATCATAGATTCTCGAATGACAACAATATTTTTAGTTCAATCACGCAAGCCTATTTCTAAGTTCGACTTCCATTCAAGAATCATGAATTTCGCTAATACCGTTCCCATTCCTGGACACGGCAGTCTGCAGTGGTTGCGAACTTTTGTCTTGAGTATCCTGAGACAAAATGAGACTGTAGTATACGATGATAGATGTAGATTTAAGTTGTATTTTCTTACATATAATGTTTATATTTATGTGAGATAAATATGATACAATATGACCTGACATATGGTTCTTTTTGTATACATTATATAGAAGATTATTAGATTAACTAAAATCTTTAATACCTAGTCTATATAAACTTTCAAACTTTCGTAGATTGAAGATATGGAACAGTCTCGATGTATCTGGGTACATCCCGCTTCTAAATACAAATTTTGAAACCCGAAATTGCTATTATTCTTGTACAGTCAGTCATGGTCCGTAGTACTTCCAGGAATCCCATTGAGCTTTGTGACTGTCAGTTCATTCTCTACTTCTCAATCCAAAAGTCCTACAGCATTCACTCAAATAGAACTCAAGTCGAAATAGACTAACTCTCTAATTTACTACCCAGCAAGTCCTCCATTTCCCTCTTTGCTGAATGTATTTCCTACTTATCCCGTGATAGAACTTATGCCACTACCTACGTAATCCTGACTCCTCCCTCTACTACTCTCACCTCTATATAAGCGTTCCAAACATGACCAAAATAGAGCAGCTAGATCATTGATAGATGGTGGAGATCGCTGCGCTACTGATACCACATTATGATGAGGAAATTATGAAACTCTTGATAAATTCTGAAGCGCAGTTTTTTCTTTTCATCTGCTAGAAATCCAATTTCCACTGTCGTTATATAGAATACAGTGGATTCTCGCTACCTTGATTGCTAGGTGCTTCAGATGACTATCAATCCCCTGATCGCCCAAACGTTAGTACAGCAGCCCTCAGCAATGGCTTGGAACCACACGCAAGAAAGACACACCTTCGATTGGCCTCGTTCTCTTTCAACTTTAATTGTCCTAACATTAGCATCTGACAGTTCTTATATAGACAATGAATGAGATACCATGCAGCCTAAAGAACCCCGCTAGTATCGCTAGCCAGCGAGCAACGAGTGAATGATTTACTTTTTACTCCAACACCTGATTCAACAATCCAGCGACCCCTCTTTACACTGTTTACAATTCACCACTGATATTCCACTATTCCTACCTCAAAACTTACCCAGTCCATAAAAGGCACGATGCTGGCGAACAAGAACTTCAAACTCCTGGACCTCAGGTGTAGAGATAGCATCCATGAGCATGTAAAAGTACCTTTTTCTTTCCAGAATGTGGCAAAGAACAGACAGATAGAGAGAATAAGCTTAGACTCGGCAAGAAGACGTAAAGAAGTGAGATTGGATTTGAAAGGAAAAATGGGAGCATGAGTTAATTCCAAACGACAACAACTGGAAGCAAATGAAAAAAAGAAGTTGGACCGACAACAGTAAAGTATCAAACTTAAGTCCAAATGATAGTTATTCCCGACACTAGAATTGCCGTCCGCATTCGTACTTCACGCTTCACACTCGAAAGTAACAGTTTTCTTCCTCTCCATAGGTACTTGCAGGTTGTGGAACACCTAAATCGGGTTCGATCACCCATCTCAATTGACTGAAATCGAAGAGGAAAGTAGTTCCTCTTATAAGTGAGGTAAGATGCGAGATGTGGGCTGGAGAATCTAATAGACCTACAGTGTCCGAAACAATTGAGGATGAGGGTAGCGATGCATACATCATACACTCATACAACATATTATTCACCTACATGCCCCACTTATCCAGCTTGACGAACTCAACATTTTCTCTATATAAACTTTCTTACATTCCAAAGAAGAAACATTAAGCGTAACTAAAATCACCACAATCACTTCTACATGAGTTTGTAGAAGCCACTTCTCTGTTTTTTTTCTTTCTTGGATCAATGATGCTAAAAATTCTCTAGAATTTGGCTTTCTCGAGATGTGAATAGATCCAAGATAGAAGGAAGATATTGATGACACATGTCAAGCAACATGGCAGCGGTATCTGGAGAATACGACAATGACTAGTGGATATCGACGAAACATGACAGACAACAGTAAAAACAAAGAAATCAGCTAATACCTACACTATACCCGATTGTACATCTCCGTCTGCACAGTTTCCCCTGAGAACAAACGATATTCAAGCCGAAACACCAGACGTCAAAGCACCTTACTTTTTCTTTCTCACGTTTTCTATACACCATCTACAAAAGACTTCAAGATATCATCACCACTTTATATATTATCGTAAC